GCCCAACTTTCCAGCCTGTCCAGGTCACGCTGAATGGCAGCACAGCCTGCTGGTGTATCCACCACCCCTCCCAGTTCTGTGTCACCAGCAAACTTGCTGAGGGTACATTCCAACTCTTCATCCAGGTTGTTGACGAAGAAGTTAAACAAGACTGGGCCCAGAACTGACCCCTGGGGGACACCACTAGTTACCAGCCTCCAACTTCTGGGCCACCCACATTTACAGCATGGTGCAGATCTTCCATTTTCTGGGCACTCCACTGACAACGCAGAGGACATAGGGAAGCCTGATCTCTCCTTGATCCCCTTCGCTGCACAGGTTACAGCTGCTAAAGGGCTGTTCTTGCTCACCAGGGGATGGCAACATTGGCATAACAAAACAAAAAAAAAGGAACAGCTTTTCCAGCACTGATTGTATTAATGCTTGGCCAAGAGCAGAAGCTACGCATGCTTGTACTTGGATTTGGCTGGCATAGAGTTAATTTTCTTCATAGTACCTTGCAGGGGGCTATGTTTTAGATTTGTGATGAAAACAGTGCTGATAACACACCAGTGTTTGAGTTACTGCCGAGCAGCGCTTCCACAGCCTCAAGGCCTTTTTTGTTCCCCAGGGATGCACGGGAAGCTGGGAGGGGACACAGCCGGGACAGCTGACCCCGGCTGACCAAGGGGATGTCCCACAGCATGTCACATGGTGCTCAGCATATAAAGCTGGGGAAGAAGGAGGAACAGCGGGCCGTGTGGATTGATGCCGTTTGCCTTCCCAAGTAACCGTTAAGCGTGATGGAGCCCTGCTTTCCTGGGACAGCTGAACACCTGCCTGAAGGCCGGAAGTAGCGAATGAATTCCTTGTTTTGCTTTGCTTGCATGCGCAGCTTCTGCTTTACCTACTGAACTGTCTTTATCTCAACCCATGGGTTTTCTCACTTTTACCCTTCTGATTCTCTCCCCCATCCCACTGGTGGGGAGTGAGGGAGCGGCTGCGTGGGGCCGAGCTGCCAGCTGGGGTTAAACCACAACAATGCTCCCCAACAGCAAGGGAATGGAGGCACTTCCATAGCACAGCTGGAAGAATCCCAGGAATCTTTCCACCAAAGCAGGGAGCAAGTAGCTGTAATTATTGGCTGTAAGTCTTTAAACCAGGCTACCAGGAACCTCCTACTATTTTTAACTCCAGGCAGCAGCTTGGGGCAGTTGTTCCTCACCAGTTGCAATTGCAGCCCTTCAGGCCACTTTCACTCCTCCAGCATTGAGGAACTACATCGCTGATGACATAGGATGGGAGAGTAGAAAGGACAAATCAAAGTAAAGGAGCTAAAAAATTGTCCCAATTCCCAAGAGCTGATGGAAAAAAATATTTAGGAGGGATGGCCACTAAACTAGGTTCCGAAGTATTTGGCTTACATTCCCAGTTCCTGGATGACTTCTTTTTGATTTAGTTTGTCTCTCTGAAAAACTGAAATAATGCTAATTCCTTCCTTTGTGCAGTGTTATACAGGAGCTAAGGAAATATTATTACAAAGTGAAATTGCAGCCTCACCCACTTGCACAGCCCTATGTACAAGGGGGAGGATGCAGACAAGGAAATGTAAGAGTTACCGTGTCCCAGAAATAATACTGCAGTCTCTTTAAAGCCTGGGCCTCTCCTCCACTGCAGGGGAAGGCTGTTCGTGGATCAGTCACAGGATCTGCCACAGAAAACACCACCACCTTGTTACCCCCTTGGAAAGCATCTGGACAGCTTAAAATCTAGGGACGCTCAGCAGTATGGAAATCTGCTTTGGGGACGTAAAAGATTGTGCCCTGGTCTTCCTTTAAAACAAGGTCCACACCAAACTTATTAAAAATTGCTGACCAAAAGAACGTTTTCTACCCAGCTGCAGGGCAGCTCCTCCATGCAGGGAATTTACCCTCATTTGCCGTGTGAGTGAACAGAGGCTTAGTTACAGTTTGCAGGGCGACCACTGCTTTTGGGAGGCCTCCAGGTTTTGATTCTCAGTAAGAGACGATTTCATGGGAGCAACTGCCAAAGTAAGTTTCCTCACCCTTCTGTCCCAAATCCTCCATTGTAGGGATACACCCTTCTTCCACCCCTGGAGCCAGAGGCTTTAGCCGATCTGCCATCCGCAGGGTTGGCCGGACCTTCGCCTGCGATTCCACCGCTTTTCGGAACTGGGTGTAGACATCAGGCAACCTGCACAGGTTACAGCGCAGTCAGATCTCCGTAGGAAGGCCACCCTGGCCCCTCCACACAGCACCACACAGCTTCTGCAGACCGAGGGTTAGCGTTTTAGAGTTCATATTTGTGATGCGTGTTTGTAGATCGCCTGGCACAAAAGAGGTAGCTGCCCCCAGGCAACAGGAAGCTCAGCCCTTCACCCAATTTCTTTCTGCTTCAGATGCAAATGGTGCCTTTTCAGTTTAAGGTGTGTCCTGGTGGGGCAATCCATGAGGGTCAGATTGATCTCGCCTAGCTTCTGACTACCCACAAGGCTGACCTCAGTGTAAAAATTTGCAACCTCCCGCTGCCTTTTCAGTCAGTGGAGAGAAACAGGCATTTTTATGTCCTGACTTCTGCCCTGTTTTATACATTTTCCACAGGATACCACGAATCACTCAACTCCATCAACTGCACCTCAAGTGACGATTGAGGGAGCCATGAAGAGTTCATACGCAAAGAGCTACTGTCACAGGCCGCTGCATTTAGCCAGAAGGGGTGACAGAGCAATCCAATCCAATGTCACAAGGACTTCGAGTGCTGCAGGCCGAGTATCCAAACTATGCTGGTGGAAGGGCCAAGAGAAATCAGTTCCTCAATCAATGGTCAGACAAACCCCTCGGCTTATGCATACTGAAGCGTAAATCCTGCTAGTACAGAGGGGTGAACGTGGCCCTTCTCCTTGTTGTGTACGAGCATGTCAGCACTGTTCCATACATGCAGATGGACTAACGGGTCCCTTCCCTATGGGACCGCATGGCTAAGGCCCCTCCTGAGCCATTCACTGGAGCGAGAAACAAACGGGACCGTGGAGGAGTGAGTGATAGCACGGAGCAGCCCACCTGGCAATAGGCCTGAAGGGAAGGTCGTCCCGGTGATACAGCGTGGATGCCCAGAACGTCTGGATCTTCACGCCGTGCTGACCACACACCTGGCACAGCCCCTTCTCCACATCCAGCTCCTCCTGCGTGGCCTAGGGAGGATAAAATGCAGTGAGGCCGTGGCCGCACGGACTCAGCTCCCGCATGCACACAGACCCCGGTCCCTGCTCTTGCCCTCCTTCCTCATCTCCACATTTAGCTTCCTCCCTTCGGAGAGGTGCACACAACCTCTGGGTACTTCCCTCTGCCAAACCCAAAAAGTGTTTTCACTCTCCACTAGTAGTGCCAGTGCCAGAATAAGGAACTCCTCAACGTAGGACGTTGCAGATCTTTAGAGCCTGCATATACTGGAAAGTGGACAAATATACGTAAAAGAAATCCACTGAGGGTTACTGAGTATCAGGATAGCATTCCTGATTCAAGAATTCCTTGAGCCACAGATTCTTGGAGGCTGGGAAAGTATTCAGGGGAAGTATCTTTACAGATTTGTCCTGCTCCTGTGGTCTTCTCTGGGCATCTGTTATTGGTCACTGTCAGGAAAAAGGCTATGGAGTCAGACGGGGCCTTTTGTCTGATTCTCTGTCGTAGTTCTTGGTGCTGCATGGAGTAAGGCACTATGGGGTGTGTAGGTGGCCAGGTTACAAAGGTCTCAGGCCCGACAG